CAACATAGTAATGGAAGTCCTAGCCACAGCGATCAGACAAGAAGAAGAAATAAAAGGCATCCAAATTGGAAGGAGGAGGTAAAACTCTCATTATTCGCAGATGGCATGATATTGTACACAGAAAACGCTAGAGAATCCACCAAAACACTACTAGATTTAACAAATGAATTTGGCAATGTAGCAGGATACAAAATGAACACACAAAAACCGATGGCTTTTTTATGCACCAATAATGAATTCTCAGAAAGAGAAACTAAACAAACATGCCCATTTACCATTGCAACAAAAAAAATTAAGATACTTAGGAATAAACTAAACCAAGGAGGCAAAAGACTTGTACTCAGAAAACTGCAGGACGTTGAAAAAAGAGATGGAGGAAGATATAAACAAGTGGAAGAATATACCGTGTTCATGGATTGGTAGAATCAACATCAGTAAAATGTCCATAGTACCCAAGGCAATCTACGAATTCAATGCAATCCCTATTAAAATACCAAGAGCATATTTCACAGATCTAGAACAAATACTCCAAAGTTTATATGGAATCAAAGAAAGACCCTGAATAGCTGTAGCAATATTGAGAAAGAAAAACAAAGCTGGAGGAATCATAATACCACATTTCAAGTTATACTACAAAGCCACCGTAATCAAAACATCCTGGTACTGGCACAAGAACAGGCATAGAAATCAATGGAAAAAAACAGAGAACCCAGAAATCAACCCAAGCCATTACACTCAATAAATGGTGCTGGGAAAATTGGACATATACATGCAAAAAAATGAAACTAGACCACCAACTTACACCATACACAAAAATAAACTCAAAATGGATAAAGGACTTAAATGTACGACAGGAAACCATAAAAATTCTAGAGGAATCCACAGGCGGAAAGAAATAGAAAGGAAAGAAGGAAGAAAAAAGAAAGAAAATGAAAAGAGTGGCTATTCTAAACAACAGAACTATCTTCAAGAAGAAGGGGAAAGGACTTAAATAGATACTTTTCAAAAGGGGACATACAGAAGGCCAAGAGACATATGAAAACATGCTCAAAGTCACTAATCACCCAAGAGATGCAAATCAAAACGACAATGAGGTATCATCTCACACCTGTCAGAATGGCTATCATCAACAAATCAACAAACCACAAGTGCTGGAGAGGATGTGGAGAAAAAGAAACCCTCCTGCACTGTTGGTGGGAATGCAGACTGGTGCAGCCACTGTGGATGAACAGTATAGAGTTTTCTCAAAAAATTAAAAATAAACTCCCATTTGACCCAGTAATCCCACTTCTAGGACTATATCCCAAGAAATCAGAAAGGATATATGCACCACTATGTTCATAGCAACACAATTTACAATAGCTAAGATTTGGAAACAGCTTAAGTGCCCATCAGCATGTGATACATCTATACAGTTGAATACTATGCTGCTGTAAAAAACAAAGAACTCACCATTTGCAACAGCATGGATGAACCTGGAGAGCATTATGCTAAGCGAAATAAGCCAGTCAGAGAAAGTTAAGTATCACATGATCTCACTCATTTGTGGACTATAATGAACAACATAAACTGATGAGCAAAAACAGAGACAGAGAAGCACTGATCTGACCATCAAACCTCAGAGGGATGGTAGGGGAGGGTGGGGGTAAGGGGGAGAGAGCAACAAAAGGACTTGTATGCATGCATGTAAGCATAACCAATGGACACAAACACCAGGGGGGTGAGGGTATGAGCAGGGGAGTGGGGGCACAAGGAGATGGTAAGGACACATTTTTAATGCCTTAATAAATAAAGGAGGGGGGGGAAACTACGGAGAAAATAAACAAATGGAACTACATCAAAATAAAAAGCTTCTGCACAGGAAAAGAAACCATCCACAAAACAAAAAGGGAGGACATATTTGGCAATGATACATCTGATAAAGGTTAATATCCAAAAATATATAAGGAACTCATGCAACTTAACAAAAGGAAGACAAACATTCTAATTTAAAAATGGAAACCCGAAATACTAATCAGAAAGAATGTATGCACCCTATGTTCATAGCAGCACAATTTACAATAGCTAAGATCTGCAAACAGCCCAAGTGCCCATCAGTAGATGAGTAGATAAATAAGCTGTGGTACATTTATACCATGGAATACTATGCAGCAATAAAAAAGAAGAATCTTTTACCCTTTGAGACAACATGAAGGGACCTGGAGATATCATGCTAGGTGATATAAGTCAGTCAGAGAAAGACAAATATCACATGATCTCACTTATTTGTGGAATCTAATGAACAACATACACTGGTGAACAAAAATAGAACCTGCGGGGGCGAAGGCAGGCTGGAGGGGTGAATGCGAAGAATAAGGCAACATAACATATGTAATACTTTCAACAATAAAGAATTATTTTTAAAAAAGCTTTGGACATACCTGGGGGTTAATGAAAAAAAATTAATTTCTAACAGGCTAACAATCACAACTATGAAAAATTTACTAGAGTGAAATACTATTATATTAAAAGAGACATTTCATAAAAGTACATTTAGAAAATAACAATCTTTTCATTATACTTTTTATGTAAAATAGCTGAATTCCAAGTCCAGAAAAGCATTATTTATTTCTTAGCAAAAGAAATATTAGAACCTACAAATCTTGTTGGGAGTGTTCTTTTAATCATAGTTTAGCAGTGAAAAGAGAAGTAAAGATGTTGTTCCACTCCATTGCTTCACTGCTGCCTTTTTTCTGATTCTCACTGTGTTCGGAAACAATGGAATCACTAAAAAGTTAAGTAACAATTTTTGAAAACCAATTTACTAATTGCTGCCATTTACTTAGTATTTGTCATTAACATTAAATTTTAAAATATTATCTTATTCTTTTTGTGGCTTGCTTTTTATTAATCCCTATTTCTTACTAGGAGCCTCTCAGATGAAAAACTCTACATTTGGTTCCTCTTAAAGAAAGCAGATTCACTAGAAAACAATATAAACAACAAAAAATAGAAACAGACTCACAGACATAGAGAGCAGACTGATGGTTGCCAGAAGGGGAGGGGTTTGGGGGATGGATAAAAAAGATGAAGGGATTAACAAGTACAGATTGGCTGTTAAAAAATAGTCACAGGCATGTAAAGTACAGCATAGGGAATCCTATATAATAAAAGTAATATGCTAATGTCCAATCATCTGTTCAACCACTCAAAGTGTAATACACTGATTTGCTAAGGCTGCTCAGCCGCTCGCTATGACATGCACTGACTAATAGGGGGCAGTCGACCAGTAGCTATAACATGCACTGACCATCAGGGAGCAGTCAACCAGTTGACCAGTGGTTCTGACATGCACTGATCACCAGGGGGGAGACACTCTGACCGGTAGGTTAGCTTGCTGCTGGGGTCTGGCTGATTGGGACCGAGCAAGACAGGCCTGACGGACATGCCCTGGAGCCCTCCCACAGTCCCTCCCTGGCTGGCCAAACTCCCGTGTCCCTCTCTGGCCCTGATTGTGCACCATTGGGGTGCCTTGGCCTGGCCTGTACCCTCTCACAATCTGGGACCTCTCGGGGGATGTCAGAGAGCCAGTTTTGGCCTGATCACGCAGGCAAGGCCGAGGGATCCCACTGGTGCATGAATTCGTGCACCAGGCCTCTAGTCCTATATAATAAAAGCCTAATAGGCAAACTGACTGAACGGCAGAATGACTGGTTGCTATGACACACATTGACCACCAGGGGGCAGACGCTCTACACAGGAACTGCCCCCAGCCCGCAGGCCCCAGGCCAGCCAAGAGGGGACTGGCGGCAGCCGGTGAGCAGGCAGGCAGGAGGGACCAGCTGGCGAGCAGGCGGGGCCAGCTGGAGAGCGGGCAGGGCCAGCTGGAGAGAGGGCCGGCGCTGCCCCCCAGTGACCCCCCCAGTCACCTCCCACAGAGGGAGGTGACTGGTGGTGGGGGGGGCAAGGGGGCAGGTGCCAGCAGGGGTACTCCGATCACTGGTGGCCCCACAGATCGGCCCTGATCGCCAGCCAGGCCTAGGGACCCTACTCATGCACGACTTTTGTGCAACGGGCCTCTAGTATAGTTAATAATATTGTAATAACTATGTATGGTGCCAGGTGAGTACTGGAAATATCAGGGGAACTCTGTAAAAAATATATGATTGCCTAACCATTATGCATAGACGTGAAACTAATACAAAATAATAGACTATAAACTGTAATTTAATAATAAAAATTTAAAAATTAAACTTTTTTAAAAAGAGAGAAACAAAAAAGAAAGAAGATTCCAATAGAGTGGTCATTATCATACTGCAATTCACTGGTCTAAGTAATTCCTACAAACATTAGTTCCAGTAACCTGAAATGTATTATATACACATCTGTATAACTGACTTTTAGTGCTTTTGCTTCTCCAAAGTGGATTTAGTTTTTCTGATTTTCCAAAGATTAGTAAGAATATTTTAAGCCAGAGCTGACCCAAGGATATGCTATTCTGAACTCCATAGAAAAACTTTGTCCCAAACTCAGTTCACATAGCAGTTAGGTAAAGAGTCAATCTCTCTGGGCCATGAGAAGAATGGGAAGCTATTTTTCCCATAAATCCGCCAGACAGTAACAGGCAAGTTACAGGTTTAACACTGAGGCTAAGAGATAAGCAACTAACTAGAATAATCTGCTTTCTTGAATAGGTTATCCTCATCAGGTTTTAAACTGAAATAATACGTTCAAACAACTCAGCACTCCCTGTAAAGCTCAAGAGGTTTCAGAACTGAAAAGCAGTAAGGGATTTACTTCCCTCGGGGACTTATTTATTTTACTAAGCATGTTTACGCTATAAGGAAAGACCAAAGACTTGACCCAAAAATTAACAACAATTTTAAGCATTGGCATTAAGATGGAAAATGAGGCTCAATACAATAAAATGAGACCTATGTCTTGTCAATAGCCAGGCAACTATTAAAAAATATCAAACAGCAAATTAGAACTGACTCAAGAAGGTAAATGTCAGAACTCACTTTTTGATTTCTCGGAGCAGCATTCGGATAAGGATGGTCTGAAGCGGTTCAACCATTAATTTCCTCCACATATCCAATGCTAGCTGCCAGAAAAAATAAAAACCATCAAAGGCTGAATTACTTAGTATTTCTTTGTAACATTTGTGTAAGACTTCTAAAAAATATCTAGCAAAAGAAGTATTTATAATTAATATTCCAAAATTCAAATGAAAATTTAATAAACATAAGGAAAATTAATGTCTAATTTTAAATGACATATCAGACTTGTACAAAGAACAGAATAAAGGTTTTTTTGATTAGCTGAAAATTTTACAGAAATAATTGATGTTTATAAAAGCTTATTTGATTATTAAATGCTCAGTATTATAGAGGGGCTATAGATGCCAAGATTGTACCAACCAAAGGAGTTACATTGAATAAAATAATGTAATTTCCCATACAAACATAAAAGGATAAGTCAACTTAAAGGATAATTAAATAAAATAAACCTGTATTTACCACCCAGGTTATGAAATACGACTTCATTACCATTGCCCCAAATGTACTCCTACTTCTCCCTCAGACGTTTTTGCTATCCTGAATCTTGTGTTAAATCATTCCCTTGATTACAATTGGACCAAATGTGTAAGTAGCCCCATATAATATTTTTGAAGTTGACCATTTCTGACCTTGCTAACAAAATCACACTGTATACTTTCTATGTATGGTTTTTAAAATTTTTAACTATTACTGAAATCCATCTAAATTGAAAGATACAGCTATATAGTTCAATCATTGACATTGCTACATAGTACCCTATTGCATAAATACACCATGATTTATTTTTCCTTTTTATTGCTCATGACATATGTTTTTGATTCCAGTTTTGCTATTTGAGAAAAATGTTGCTATTCTTGTATACTAGTGGCACGGTGCACGAAACTCATGCACATTAAAAGTGGATTAATAAGAGGAAATATTTTAATATTGTTATTTGCCCTTTCTCTATAATAGAAGTGTCAGAGATAAAAGAAAATTAGTACAGTGTATATAAAAATCTTCCTCCTGTCAAGAGTCTGGGACACACCATGGGACCCAGAGTCAAGTCCCGCCCACCCACATGTGCCTCAAAATCATGTGAGACCCAACTCCGGCCGCCGCCCCCCCTAAATTGAGCTAGACCCAGACCCAGCCAGTTCCATCCTTATCAAGCCCCGCTGGGCGGGGAACGCAGCCTCAGGTCCCCTGGCCCGGTGCCAGGGTGGGGAACATGGCCTAAGGTCCCCCGGCCTGGCACCAGGGCAGGGGGCACAGCCTGAGGTCCCCATCAAGCCCTGCCAGGTGGGGGACACAGCCTGAAGTCCCCTGTCAAGCTCCATGGGGTTGGGGGTGCAGCCTCAGGTCCCTGCAGATTGCTCATCAAGGCTCATTACAGGAACTCGGTCTCCGCTGTGGGTGCAGCCATCTTGTTACGAAAACCCCGCCTCCTCTGTGGGTGAAGCCATCTTGTGTTATGGAAACCCCCACCTCCACTGTGGGCGCCACCATCTTTGTGGCAGAGTGATGGTAAATTTGCATATTCCCTCTTTATTATATAGGATATTTTCTGGTGAACATAAGCAAAAAGTTCTCGGATATACACCTATGATTGGAAATGCTGCACTATAGGGTTAAGGACATATACAGCTTTACTCAGTCAAGCCAAATGGTTTTCCAATATTTACACTAGAGGCCTGATGCACAAAATTCATGCAAGAGTAGGCCTTCCTTCCCCTGGCTGCTGGCACCTGCTTCCCTCTGGCACCTGGAGCTCGGGCTTCCCTCTGGCACCCAGGACCTGGGCTTCCCTCCAGCTGCGAGCAGGTACCCGGGACCCAGGCTTCCCTCATAGCACCCGCTTCATCCAAAAGGTCGTCCGGAAGGACATCCAATATAATTAGCATATTTTGCTTTTATTATTGTAGACTAGAGGCCTGGTGCATGAAATTCGTGCACAGGCGGGGGGTCCCCTGAGCCCAGCCTACACCCTCTCCAATCTTGGACTCCTCGGGGGATGTCCAACTGCCGGTTTAGGGCCAATCCCAGGGATCGGGCGTAAACCAGCAGTCGGACACCCCTCTCACAATCTGGGATTTTGATGGCTCCTAACTGCTCACCTACCTGCCTGCCTGATCACCCTTAACTGTCCCCCCTGCCAACCTGATCACCCCTAACCACCTCTGCCTGCCTGCCTGCCTGATCACCCCTTGCTGCCCCTCTGCCATCCTGATCACCCCTAACTGCCTCTGCCTGCCGGCCTGATAGCCCCTAACTTCCCCTTCTGCAGGCCTGGTCGCCCCCAATTGCCTCTCCCGACAGCGCCAGCCCAGTCGCCCCACGCAGCCTACTGTTCAGTCATTTGGTCATTCCTCACTAACACCCCTGCCAGCCTGTTGCCCATTATCTCATTAATGTTTATCTCATTCTTAATGAAACCTAGGAGTTCTTTATATATTATAGAAGTTAATCCCTTGACAGTTTTACATATTGTAGTTTGTCAGAGTTTGTGACTTGACTTTTTAATTTCTTTAGTTTTTTAGTAAAAACCCTATATAATAAGGAGCTAATATGCAAATGGCCATCACACCCTCACACTATAATGGCTCAGACACTCAACACTAGAGAGAGAGGAATGGGGACCAGTCAGGCACAAATGAGCTCCCGACGAGAGAGGAATGGGGACCAGCCAGGCTGCGGCCTGGGAGAGGGACAAGCACCCAGTGGTCCCAGGTGTCAACAGCTGCACCTGAGCCTGTGGCCCAGGAGAGGGACAATCCGCACGCCCCACGGTCCCAGGCGCCAGCACCTGTGCCTGTGGCTCAGGAAAAGGACAAGCTGCCTGCCCCATGGCCCTGGGCACCAGCGGCTGTGTCTGCACCTGCGGCCCGTGAGAGGGACAAACTGCCCGCCCCACGGTCCTGGGCGCCAGCACCTGCACCTGCGGGCCAGGAGAAAGACAAGCCGCCTGCCCCACAGTCCCGGGGATCTGCAGCTGCGGCCCAGGCGAAATTGCCCACCCATGGTCCCCTGAGGCTGCAGCTGGCCCAGGCAAAGCCAGTCCGGGTCCTGGGTGTCTGCCGCCCGCCAGAGGGAGGGAAGCCGGGTCCCGGGTGCCTGCAACCAGCCAGAGGATAGAATCCTGGGCCCCGGGTGCGGGGTGAGGCAGAAGCAGTTAGGGGCAATCAGGCCAGCAGAGAAGTCAGGCAGGCAGAGGTGGTTAGGAGCGATCAGGCAGGAAGGCAGGCAGGTGAGCGGTTAGGAGCCAGCGGTCACGGATTGCAAGAGGCAGTCGGACATCCCCCAAGGGGTCCCAGATTGAAGAGGGTGCAGGCCCGGCTGAGGGACCCACCCCCATGCACAAATTTCGTGCATCAGGCCTCTAGTATATTATAATGTACTCAAAGTTATCAATCTTTTCCTTTATCATTTGTATTTTTTGTGTCTTTTAAGGACTCCTTCCCTACCCTAAGGTCATAAAGGTATGGTCTTAAGATCATAAGGTCTATATTGTCTCCCAAAAGTTTTCAAGTTTTCCCTTTCACATTTAAGCCTTTAAACTCCAGATATTTTTCCATACATAGTACAAATTATTCCAGAGTCAAAAACTAATTGCTCGTTTCTAACTGAACTGCACACACAGAGATATAAGTCTGGTTTTTGCCTCTATATTCTGTTTCTCTGGAGTAACTCTACTCAGATCCATTGGTAATTCCATTTCAAATAAATAAAAGCATCTGTCTTCTTACAAGGAACATCCTTTAAGTTTTGCCTTCTTTTTTTTTCCTTTTTAAGCAGCATGAACAAGTAAAAATAGAAGATAATACATAAGAAAATGAGATTTTTATAGCAAATGTTTTAAAGCAAACATTGTACTAGAGTATTTCTTTCACAATCAGCATAAGCATTATACAATTCTCCACACTTAAATCTGAGCTGTGGTGGGAGGGCAAACTGGTAAAGCCCTTTGAAAGGAAAATTGGCAGAGTAAGCTTTAACCCAGAAAATCAAGTTCCAGGTACCCACTCTATGAAATTTTCTGCTTCTATATAAAGAGATACATACATAAATGTAATTCCATGGGTGTAACTTTTTTGTCACTTTGTTCACTACTGTATTCCTAAAATACAGAACAGTGCCTGTCACACAGAGGGATTCAAAAAATATTTAATAAATAAACAACAATGTTCGCTATAGTATTGTTTGTAATAACAAAAAACTGAAACGATAAATTATTTAATAATTAATAAATTATTATTTGCCTAATGTAGAATATTAAGCTCTCACCCAAAAATTAACTTATGTGAAAAGAACTCCTAGACATGTTAACAAAAAAGTTGGAGGACTTCAGATATGGTATGACGTTTAAAAAATAAAATAAAAACGATTATGCATGTATGCATGAAATTTATATGCAAATACACAGGTAAAATTCATAAAAGATATAAATCAAATTGTGTATAGTGATTTATTCTGGGAAAAGGAGCAGGCTTGATGGTGTTAATAAGGAATAATCATTAAGTAAAATATTAACTTATAAAACTACTAATTAAAGCAACCATTGTTAAGATTTTGGTATCTCTCACTGATGTGCTTCACAATATCCTTTTTTCCCCTTCAGTTTTATTCCTATTAAATATACCATGTTACCCTTATTAAAGGTCCTATGAACAATTTTCTACTATTATTTTATTCATTTGCCTAACTTAATAACAAAATCATATTGGATATATTCTTCCACATTGGAAATTTACACTGTCTATCCATTAGTTACCCTTATTAGCATGAGTGCAAGGAATACTTTCAAACTGATTTTCAACAAATTTCTTAAAAGGATGATTCTAATTTAAATCTCTAATAATGCTACATCTTATGTTTACTTCCTTTATTAACACTCATCACAATTTAACATTAATTTCTTTACTTCTTTGGCATCTGCTTCCCATGAGGACAGGGACCTCTGTCTGTTCACCACTGCATCTACAATGTCTGGCTACTCAACAAATACGTATTACTTGGAAAAGCAAACATTATACTAGAGTGTTTCTTTCACAATCAGCACATGCATTATATAATTCTCCACATTTAAATTTGAGTAAACTACTTGAGCTGCATACATAACTGTTTTACTTCGAATTTAACTACTTTTAAAATTTAAAATAAATTTTGTTATATGCATAAATTTGTATTTATTCTCCTTTAGGATCCCTTTTAAATCCATGTCCTTTGTACTTTTTACTACAGGAATCTCAACATTTTGAAACACTTTTCATGAACTTTGTCACATAATGGAACTATAAACCTATCATCCATATAATTATTAAAATACTTATCATGTCTTTTCTGTTCTTCTCATCTATTTGAAGTTTCTTAGAAAATCATTACAGTATTTTATTTACTTAAAATTTAGGATGTTTTAAATTTTGACCTAGTTAACTCAGTGTCCTTTAAAAAAGGACAGTGAACCAAATGTTTTTAAATAAATAAAAACATTCTTATGCTTGACAATAATTTAAAGGATTTCCTACCTCTCCTATTTCCATAAGAGGTTCATTCATATCTACACCACCATAGCCATACTGAAGGTCAGCTTCTGTCAATTTATTTTTTTTAATAAACTGGGTGTTGAGATACCTGAAAAACAAATGTAATATCATTGAAAAGTATGTCAAATAGGTAGGAAAACAAATAATTTGCAACTTTGGAACAATAATTTTAGGGTTATAAATCAACTACAGAATAGTTGAGTAATATACCCAAAAGAAATTAAATAAAAATTAAAAATTATTACCCAACTTTCTATGTAAGGACTTAAGAGACAAAGGATAAGACCTTTAGAGCAGAATAAAAAAAAAAGACACCTATAATCACAGTTTCAATTTAAAAATTCAAGGGGCCCTTGCCAGGTGACTCAGTTGGTTGGAGCATCATCCTGTACACCAAAAGGTTATAGTTTCAATTTCTGGTCAGGGCCTATACCTAGTTATAGGTTCAATCCCTGATCGGGGAACATATGGGAGGCACCGATGTTTCTTCCTCTCTCACATCTCTCTCTTCTTCTCTCTAAAATCAATAAACAAAAGAAAGAAGGAAAGGAGAAGAGGGAGGGAGGGAGGAAGGAAGGAAGGAAAAATAATCAAGTGTTCATAAAAACTCCAAAAGCCTTATAGCCAAAAAGGTCTATCCAACAGACAACCCTTCAACAATCTCATTAGATCATTTCCAGATTCTTCTCAGTAAGTCAAGATAAGATTTCAAAAAGAAGGCCATCACAAGAGACAACAAAGGTCTCTAATAATACTAAAGGCATAGATGCAACACGAGAATATAACTCTGGTAAACATATATGCACCCGAAGGCCACTTCATAATACTAAAGGGATCAATACAACAAGAAGATATTGCCCTGGTAAACATATATGCACCCAATAGAGGGGCACCTAAATATATAAAAAAAGACTTCTAGAGGAATTTAAGGGAGAAATCAACAACAATACAGTCATTGTAGGGGACTTGAACAACCCGCTGACCTTACTAGATAGATCTTCCATACAAAAATTTAATAAGAAAACAGTGAATCTAAATGACACACTGTACCAGATGGATTTAACTGACATTTATAGAATATTTTATGCCAAGCTGCATAATATACATTCTTCTCAAGTGCACATGGATCATTCACAAAGATAGAACACATGTTAGAACACAAAACAAGTCTCTACAAGTTCAGGAAGATTGAAATATCAACCATCTTCTCAGATCACAGTGGAATGAAATTAGAAATCAACTACAGTATAAACACCAAAAAACATTTAAACACATGGAGGCTAAATAACATGTTATTAAACAATGAATGAGTTACCAATGAGATCAAGAATACATCACATAAACAAATTGAAAGACAAAAATCACAGGATCATATCAAAAGACGCAGAAAGAGCATTCTACAAAATTAAATGGCCATTTTTGATAAAAACTCTCAGCAAAGTGGGAACAGAGGGAGCATATCGGTATATAATACATGCCATATATAGTAAAACGTACAGCCAACATCTTACTCAATGGCAAAAACTAAAACCATTTCCCCCAAGAACAGGAACAAGACAAGGATGTCTGCTTTCACCACCCTTATTCAACATAAAACTGGAAGTCCTAGCCACAGCATTCAGACAAGAAGAAATAAAAAGCATCCAAATTGGAAAGGAGCAAGTAAACTCGCAGTATTCTCAGACGACATGATATTGTACACAGAAAACCCTAAAGACTCCACCACAAAAACTACTAGAGTTAATAAAAGAATTTGGAAATGTAGCAGGATACAAAAATCAATACCCAAATATCAATGGCTTCCCTCCCGCCCCGCCCCCCATGGCTTTTTTTTACACCAATAATGAATTCTCAGAAAAGGAAACTAAACAAACAATCACATTTACAATTGCAACAAAGAAATGAAGATACTTAGGAATAGACTTAACCAAAGAGGCAAAAGACTTGTATTCGAAAAACTACAGGACCTTGAAAAAAGAGATGGAGGAAGTTATAAACAAGTGGAAGAATATGCCATGGATTGGTAGAATCAACATCAGTAAAATGTCCACAGTACCCAAGGCAATATACAGATCTAATGTAATCCCTATTAAACAGCATATTTCACAGACCTAGAACAAATACTCCAAAAACTTATATGGAACCAAAGAAGATCCCAAATATCCACAGCAATCTTGAAAAATAAGAAAAAAGTTGGAAGAATCACAATACCAGATATCAAATTATAATCAAAACAGCCTGATACTGGCACAAGAACAGGCATATATATCTATGGAACAGAACAGAGAAGGCAGAAATCAACCCAAGCCATTACATTCAATTAATATTTGACAAAGGAGGCAAGAACATACAATGGACTCAAGACAGTCTATTAAATGGTGTTGGGAAAAATGGACAGATAAATGCAAAAAAATAAAACTAGACCACCAACTTACATCATACACAAGAATAAACTCAAAATGGATAAAAGACTTAAATTGTAAGGCATGAAACCATAAAAATCTTAGAAGAAACTATAGGAAGTAAAACCTCAGACATCTCACATAGCAGAAGTTTTGCTGATACATCAAGAGGTAGAAACATCAATGATGAGAGAGAACCATTGATCGGCTGCCTTCTTCACTCCTCCTACTGGGGATTGAGCTGGCCACCTGGGCATGTACCCCTGATCAGAATTGAACCCAGAACCCCTTAGTCCACAGACCCATGCTCTATCCACTGACCCAAAACAGCTAGGGCAGGAACTCATACTACTTAACAAAAGGAAGCAATCCAATTAAAAAATGGGCAAAGGATGACCTAAATAGGCATATCTCCAAAGTGCACATACAGATGGCCAAGAGACAGATGAAAAAATGCTCCAAGTCACTGATCATCAGAGAGATGCAAATTAAAACAACAATGGGGTATCACCTCACACATGTCAGAATGGCTACCATCAACACATCAACAAATGACAATGTTGGAAAGGATGTGGAAAAAAGGGAACCCTATTATATTGCTGGTGGGACTGCAGATTGGTGATGCCACTGTGGAAAACAGCTTGGAGTTTTCTCAAAAAATAAAAAATGCAACTGTGTTTTGATCCAGCAATCCCACTTCTAGGAATGTATCCTACAGATCCCGAAATACCAATTCAAAAGAATATGTTCACCTCTATGTTGACAGCAGCGTTATTTACAACTAGAGGCCCGGTGCACGTAATTCGTGCATTAGTAGGGTCCTTAGGCCTGGCCAACCATCAGGGCTGGTCAGGGCCTTCCTTCCCCCGGCTGCCGGCTGGGGCCTTCCTTCATTCCATACCACCCCCTGGTGGTCAGCACACATCACAGGAAGCAGTCGAACTCCCAGTTGGTCAAACTCCCGAGGGGACAATTTGCATATTACCTTTTATTATATAGGATAGCCAAAATCTGGAAAGAGCCCAAGTGCACATCAGTAGATGAGTATATAAAAAAGCTATGGTGCCTGGCCAGCATGGCTGGGTGGTTGAGCATCCAGGAAGCCACAGCTCAATTCTCAGTCAGGGCATATGCCTGGGTGCCTGGGTTACTCGATCCCAGTAGGGGGCATGCAGGAGGCAGCCCAATGAGGCTCGGTTGAATAGAGCATCATCCCATACACCACAAAGTGGCGAGTTTGATTCCTAGTCAGGGCACATACCCAGGTTGCAGGTTTGATCCTCAATCAGGGTACATATAGGTGGTGTCTGATCATTATTTTCTTTCTCTCTCTCTCTCTCTCTTTCTCTTTTTCCCTCCGTCCCTCCCTCCCTCCAAGAGCAATAAAAATACATAAATAAGTAAACAAATAAATAAGTAGTTGTGTACATTTACACAAATGAATACTACTACGTCACCATTTTAAAAAAGGAAATCTTTCTTACCTTTTGTAACAGCATGAATGGACCTGGAGAGTATTATGCTAAGTGAAATAAGCTAGTCAGAGAAAGACAAATACCATATGATCTCAATAATATGTGGAATTTAATGAACAAAGTAGAAGCAGAGACAAGGACACATGGAATAGTCTGACAGCTGTCAGAGGGGACAGGGGAGGTGCGTACTGGATGAAAGAAGGTGAAGGGAATAGCCAAAAAGCATATGTGCATAACCTATAGAAACAGATAACAGTGGTAAAAGCCAGAGGGAAGAGGGGTGAGGATTGTGGAGGTAGGCAAAGGGAGGGAAAATGGTGTATCTGTCAACAATAAAATAAAGTTAAAAAATATCTTTAAAAACTCTTCAATTATAAATGCAAGCAATACTGTTGAGATTGTCAGAGTTTAAAAGAATACTTACCTATACAAGCAGTCCATATAGTCTGCACCCTTGCTATATTCCTCCCAATACCTATGATACATAACAAGTACTTGCTCTTCAGACTCCAGAACTCTCTATATAAAGAAGAAAAATTTTTCACTTGGAAAGCACTTACCATTTTCATTTGTAAGCTATAAAATTTGTCAAAAGTAAATACTTTAAAATAATAGACATAGTTTAAGCATTATAAATTACATTTATAAGTTCCATTCTGATTTAACTACCTTTAGTATCAATGAAACAACTAGAAAAACATGTGAGTCTTAGATATGAAAGTGAAGCTTCATACTGGAGAGTAACTGTTTCATTCTCTAAGATCAAAGGCCAAGATGTAATGATTTGATATTTTCTTTGAACTAGAATATATTAAGATCAGTTCATACAGAATATAATTCTATTGTCATGTCTCTATGTGTTTCCTCAAATCCGTAACATGTGACCAACCTGCTAGTATATAAGTAAATCAGACTGATATAATTATATCACTTCAAATTATTCACTTTTGTGAATAAGACTATTTATGAAAATTGACACTTTTCCACATTCCCCAAGAAAGTTTTATTTCATTTACTTCAGAGAAACATATTATTTTTTGAAAAAATGAAAATCAAACTTAAATCTGAGGTCCAATATTTTAAAGTTATTTTTAAAGAAAATCTAGTCTAACAATAAAAATACATTGGACTGCTTGGCCAGTGTTGCTCAATGGTTGTGCACTGACCTATGAAGTCATGATTTAATTCATGGTCAGGGCACATGCCCAGGGTGTAGGCGGAGGCATTCGGGATGCAGCCAAACAATGATTCCCTCTCATTTTTAATGTTTCTCTCTCTCTCCCTCCCTCTACCTTCCTCTCTAAAATCAGTAAAAACATACTTTAAAAAAAAGTACATTGGACTGATATTCAGGGGGTCGTAAGTTTTTCTTTTATAGTTCTTCATTAACTGTTCATATGACCTTAACAAATCATGACCTCAACTTTCATTTAATTATCTAATGAAATGACTTTATACTTGAAATTTTAACACAAGGCTCAGAACAATAGAAATAACCTATAAATTGTATTCTTTTGCTTATCATATTGGTTAATAAATTAAAAATAGCAACTATTGCCAAAACCGGTTTGGCTCAGTGGATAGAGCGTCAGCCTGCGGACTGAGAGGTCTCAGGTTCGATTCCGGTCAAGGGCATGTACCTGGGTTGCGGGCATATCCCCAGTTGGGGGTGTGCAGGAGGCAGCTGATCGATGTTTCTCTCTCATCAATGTTTCTGGCTCTGTCTCTCTCCCTTCCTCTCTGTAAAAAATCAATAAAATATATTTTTTAAAAAATAGCAACTATTAATCATCCTGGTGACTAGGTATTGCTGGTTTGATAATTCTATTACTGGTTTGATGGAATATAAATCCAAGAACAATCTGTTACTAATATGTCTAAACACTAAAAAATTTTCATGACTCACGACTTAGTAATTCAAGGTCTAGAATTTATCCCACAAGAAACTTAGTTACACAAAAATTATTTAGCCACAAGAACGTTCACAGAAGTATTGTGGATAACAACAAATTATATAATCTACTTATACAAAAACCATGGGTGGTGTTCATCGCCACCTGAACCGCCGCAACCAAGCGGAAGGAAGTCAGTCCTGCAGGGGTTGTCTTGGCAATGGCTGCACACTCCCCTGAGTTGTTTTCCAGAGCTGTTTTCAGTGAGGGCAGGGTTTGAGGCAGGAACCTACCATCGGAGCATGGACCCAATGAATCCAGGGTCACTTTGCTAAGGGCTGCACTCTCCCCAGCTGTTTCCAATGTGGCCTGAAGGAAGAACCCACCCACAGAGCACCAGGAGCGCCCAGCAGCAGTCAGTCCTGGGTTGCTGAGGTGGAGGCCATGGCGTGGTAGAACTCTGGGTCTGGCCCAACAGGGGACGTGGCCGACCTTCAAATAGACCCTAACAGTAGAAAGGAGAGAGCCCCATTCTTCACAGAATCTGCTGTTGGAGAGCTTGCTGTCAGTGGCCTGCCAGCCAGGAACCCCATTCTCCTGCACCCCAGACCCTGACAGGAGGGAGGAGGGAGCCCCTTTCCTCACAGAATCGACAGATGGCCAGTTTGCTAATTAATTCCCTTTTTTTAAAAAAAAAATATATTTTATTGATTTTTTACAGAGAGGAAGGGAAAGGGATAGAAAGTTAGAAACATCGATGAGAGAGAAACATCGATCAGCTGCCTCCTACACACTCCCCACTGGGGATGTGCCCGCAACCAACGTACATGCCCTTGACCAGAATTGAACCTAGGACCCTTGAGTCCACAGGCCGATGCTCTATCCACTGAGCCAAACTGATTAGGGCAATTAATTCCCTTTTAATTGCATGGATTTCATGCACCAGGCTACTAGCTGGAAATAATCTATATGGCCAGCAATATGGAAATACTGAAACAAATCATAGTATCTCCATACCATGAAAAATTTTATCATCATTGCCAGGATTACAAAGTCTATATAATGACAAATAAAGAGGAACTTACAATATTAAAAACAAAAAGCAGGTTATAAAATGTGTAACATGACTCCACTTTCTAATAAAAAATAGAAGTCTACACAAAGCAAAAATATGCATTACAGTAATCATTAAATCAAATTACATGTATATTAGTATGTACCAAAAGAGATATATTTTAATAAAGATATATGGAAACTATTAACAATGATTAATTCTGGAGGTATGTTATGGTGGTATTTACTTCCTTCTTTTTTTTTAAAATATATTTCTTTATTGATTTCAGAGAGGAAGGGAGAAGAGAGAGATAGAAACATCAATGATGAGAGAGAATCATTGATCGGCTGCCTCCTGCACGCTCCCTACTAGGAATCGAGCCCGCAACCCAGGCATGTGCCCTTGGCCGGAATCGAACCTGGGACCCATCAGTCCACAAGCTGATGCTTTATCCACTGAGCCAAGCAGGCTAGGGTTTTACTTTCTTCTTGATTTCTTATCTGTATGTCCTAAATTATTTGTAATGGTAAGACTTTATTAATTTAAAAAGTTCCCTTCCCCGAATCAAATCAAATTTTTTTCTCAGATGTGAAAGTGATTTTATTGGCTATATTAACAATTTATTTTATCATCTACACATTAGCCAACTTCTTTTTTTGTCACTGGATCTGAGAACATATAGTGTATAATTAATATAAGTATTATAAACTTTCTTAAAACTACTTCAAAATACAATTTTTAATCACACAACTATACCAATGTTCACTTCTTAGTTTTAATACCATACCACTATTACGCTCATTATCATTAAGAAGCTGGATAAAAAGTATATGAGAATAAGCTCTATTATTTTTGCAACTTTTCCATAAATTTAAAATTACTTCGTAGTTTGCCCTGGTTGGTTTAGCTCAGTGGATAGAGCATTGACCTGTGGACTGACGGGTCCCAGGTTCGATTCTGATCAAGGGCACATGCCAGGGTTGTGGGCTTGATCCCCAGTGTGGGGCATGCAGGAAGCAGCCAATCGATGATTCTCTCTCATCATTGATGTTTCTGTCTCTCCCTCTCCCTTCCTGTCTGAAATCAATAAAAATATATTTTAAAAAATAATAATAAAATTACTTCATAGTTTAAAGAAAATCACTTACAACCTATGCTAAAATATAAAATTACAAAATTTATAACTGCCTTAAACAGTTCTTAATTATGCTCACCCTAGCAGAACTTTAATTTTAAAACTAACTTAACATAGGAAACATTTTAAGACTGATTTGAAGTACTTGTTATCAACATTGCTTTTATGAACTAGTAGATGTGCATATTAAGAAAACTGTTATCTGTGATATACAAAAGAAAATAGAACATTTCCTCTGAATGTTTTAAAGGAAACTATCATATGATCAACTGGACTCTACTTATGAGTTATGTACACTTTAAAAACAATCTGCTCCAAGCCTTGTGCAGGGTTAGACTTTAGACTGTGTTATTTTATCTCCATTTTATAAAGAAACTTAAAGTAGGTTATGTGAGTTGCCCATGGTCACACAGCTACTAAAAGGTAAGAGTCAAGTAGCTAGCTCAGATAATAAATGACCTCACTCAGCTCCTGACAAGATCAGTAGGTAAGTCAGATACTGCAAGTTCATTTTTGCACAGACCAAGTCTGTGATGTTACCCTTATATAAATGACATACTAACCAAATAAATTGGTCAGAAAAAATTTCTATGATGCTTTTAAATTGACCATTTCCCTTTTTAATTTTAGGTTTTTTGTAAGATTTTTTATAGGATATGAAGCGGCAGCTAACAAGTTGACAGATAATAATAAAGACAGATTTACCAAGAGGTGGGAAGCAACAGTAAGAGAAAATTTGGTTCTATCCAGAGAACATAGGAGCACATTTTAAAGGTGAACAAACCCTGCTCTTTCACTTACTACTTATATGATCTTGAGCAACTACACTAATTTCCCTTGTGGGAAAAGCACAGCTCTTGACAAGTAGATCTAAAATATATATAATTAAAAAAATGCTATTTAGGAAACAAAACAAATAAACCTTAATTTGATCTTAGTTCTGCACTGCAAAACAGTGAACTAAGCAAGTAACTATGCAGCTACAAACATATTTATATCATGTATGTATCATTCCTTACCTTGTGCAAATGCCGTACGTGATTTTCCAAAAAAATCTTAGTTTCTGTATAAAGTCTTTCTCCAAGGGGTTCAGGATAGGCCACACATAAAGCATAGATATCTCTAGTTAAACTGTTAAGGTTTTCACATTCATTGGAAATATTCTTTATAACAAATGAGCTTTAACTCAAGCTTCACATTAAAAAATGAAAAATCATTTCATTTTTGTGGTTTAAGGTTATATAGACATAGATATAGAATAAAGGTATAATATATAACCATGCTTACTTTAAAAGCATTAGCAGATATGTTCACTTACTCATTCAACAAATATTTATTGAGGATTATTTGATGGTATTGTAAAGAAAACTGTTCCTCTCAGAGACATTAAAATTCAGAGGGGGATTCTGGGAAGTTACCCAGACACCTACAAAATACGGTTTATGTAAAAAAGGACATAAACATAATACCAACAAAGAGCTACAGAATATCATGAGACAGATATGGACTCTAAGCAATTCTGAAAAACAAGTTACAAAAATTACTCACTTGACATTTTCCCACATCGCAGTACTCATCAGAATATTCTTCAACATATCCACTGTCCTTTAACATTTAATCTATTAGAAGAATTATAGTATGAACAGTAGTATCAATTAAGTTTTTGAACACATTAAGTACCTTGCTAGGTATCACAGGTGGTATGCTGTAGAGGTTTTTATCAGGAGTCAGAGAAAATGGTATCTGCTTGAGGCATTTACTAGCCAGTGATCTTGACCAAGTCTCTTAACCTCTCTAGGCTATTTCCTCATCTCTAAGATAAAGATAACATCCTGACATCTCTATAGGATCCTTGTAAGACCCAAGTAAGCTCATGTATGTTGAAGCACCAAATGTGGAAAAAACACCCATGAAGCAATCTGAGACCAGCCTAATTAGAGATGCAGATAATATCTGAAAATAAGGTTACTTGGGATGGAGTCAAATATTTCTATTAAACATAGAATCAGGAAATATGACAAAATAAAAATATGTACTTTAAAAATTTATCAGAGATAGAATGTAGGTTCTTCCCATCTATAATCCCCATAACATTTTATATATTCTTCTTCTAGAAAACTTATTTTTATACAATAAAATTTATACCTTTGTTATCCACACTAGCCTATTCTTAATCATCTCTATATTCCCAGCCCCCAGGCATAGTTCGTGGAATGTAACAGGCACTTAATCAACTCTTGGTGATGCAAAGAAAATAGCGATCAAGTCGCGCATGGTCAGCCATTAACTAGTCTCATTACTCTGGAAAGAGCAAGCAGCCCTCCTCATATGAGCCCTCTTCACATGGAAGTCTAGTAGATATCAGTCAGACTTTCCCATGGTCCTTCTAAATCCTTTTCGTTATTTTTAATATTAGTAACAAATAAGCTATCTTTATGTGTATATGTATACATTTCTTCAATATATTATTCTATTAAATAAAAAATAAAATTTTTCTTTTTTAAATGTTTTATTGATTTCAGAGAGGGAGGGAGAGACATTGATTTGTTGTTCCATTTATTTATGCATTTCATTAGTTGATTCTTATATGTGCCCTGACCAGTGATCGAACCTGCAACCTTGGCATATCAGGACAATGCTCTAAGCCAGTGGTCGTCAACCTTTTGGACCTCATGGATCACCAGTGGTCCACGGACCACCTGTTGGCAACTGCTGCTCTAAGCAACTGATCTTCCTGGCTAGGGCTAAAATTTTCTTTATATTAAAAAAACAAACATAATGAAGCAAGAATATCCATATAATGTAGTATCACTGTGACAGATTTTTTTTTATTTTACTTTTATTTTTTTTAAATATATATTTTATTGATTTTTTACAGAGAGGAACGGAGAGAGATAGTTAGAAACATCGATGAGAGAGAAACATCGATCAGCTGCCTCCTGCACACCCCCAACTGGGGATGTGCCCGCAACCCAGGTACATGCCCTTGACCGGAATCGAACCGGGGACCCTTCAGTCCGCAGGCCGGCGCTCTATCCACTGAGCCAAACCGGTTTCGGCACGTGCCAGATTTTTTAATGGACTCACCTTCTTTATAAACTTTTTAAATTAATATTTCACTCACCACACTTTAGGGTCTCAGTTAACCACTTTATAATTTTATTCAACTGCCTAAAAGATATTCCTAAATATGTTCTTTTTCTCTAACTTATTCAAATATCCAATCACCAGGGAAATGTTTCGGCGTTAGGAAGAACACCCAAGAAGAGCATTTTTCAAGACACTTTGAGGCAGCCAATCCACATTGATGTTTCTCTTTCATGGATGTTTCTCCCTCCCTTCTCCCTTCCTCTCTTTCTAAAAAAGAAAAAAAAAATCAATAAAAGCATATTGTAAAAGACAAAAAATGGGAAATATCTGGAGGTCAGATTTTAACACTCTCTTCCCCAAAGTCATCTTTTCCTTAAATCTCTTCAGAAATATAAAAATTCCTGTTTATGAAATTTTCACTTAAAAATTCTCATTCAGAAACAAAACTGTTCCAGAGCAAAAGCTCTGAACTGTTACAACCAAGATAGTGTTGGCCAGGAGCAAAATTATTTATTTTAATTCATTTTCTCCATTAAAAGGTGCTTCCTATACTTGGCTTAATTTTGAGTTTTAACTCTATTAATTCTACTGTGTAGTGAGTCACAATGAGTTTTGAAATGGCGATAAAAGTAAAAATTATCTTAAAATTGAAAATGGTAAGACAATGAACAAAAAAGAATTTATTTATAATAAAAAAGAGATGTTTATTGACATTTCTGAAGAATAAAAATGCCACATGTAAAAATGAATATGTAAAATCATGAATTAGAATCAACATCAGATATTGGTCTGATTTAATTTAGAAGCATGAATAAAAGTGTTGCTGGTGCACCAACCAGAGATGACTATGGAGAAAACCTTTCCTAACTTCGACTGGCAGTCAAGCTTCCTTAACCCCTTCCCCGGCAGAAACGTGTATACACGTTTTCACAAAATGTTCTTTTTTCAGTCATCGACGAGTATACTCGTCTAAAAACTTTACCTTCAAAAACCAGCTACATACGTACCATTCTAAATAATTTCATCTAGAAACTTTCTGAGGAAATACTATTCTTAACCACAAAAATGGGAAGAAAAAATAATTACAAACTGTTTTCATAACCAGCATCAAAAATACTATATAGACCCAAAATAAAAAAAATTAGTCTGAAAAAGAAACGTTTTTAACAAAAAAATTATTGGGGAAGGGGTTAATGCCTAATGCAAGAGTACAGGAGACTTTGGCATTTTTACCCCAGCATTCTATCATACAACATCAGTAAATCATCTTACCCATCTTGGGCCACAATATTCTTAACTGCAAAATTGAACTAATAGTGCATATTTTATAAGATCATTTGTAAAAAATTAATTACACACAAATGTTGAAAAAAATGACAAATGTATATAGTACAATTCTATTTATATAAAGTTCAAAAACAGAATTAACCAATATTGTTTAAAGTTGTGTATATAAGTAGTTATACTGTTTTTAGAAAAACAGGAAACAGTAGATGTAAAAGTTGGATACTAGTACCTCCAAGAGAAAGGAAGGGCTCATGAACTGAGAGAGACATGTGGTGATGTGGGGTTGATGGATGCTGGCAGTGTTCTAGTTAACCAACCTGTGTGGTGATTATACAGATGTTATAATTATTTATTGAACTCTACATGTATATCTTACAAACTTTGCAACATATGTATTATATTTCACACTCCCCCAAGTACTAATACATATGGTAGTACACAATATTCAAGGGGCATTTTTCACTTTCAAAATATAGTAAGGTTTTATGGTCTTTAAAATTCTACCTAAGATATCTGAAGATCAGAAGTCAACCATATATTTTTGGGCAAAATAACAGGGAAGTGGAGGGAATTCTACTTTGGGAAAATTAGTAACACAGCCCTTTATTTTCTTAATTACAAATTAAAGTGAGAGATTACACTTTTAAATTTAGTATTTTTGCAGATTTTTTTATTTTAAGGGGAAGAGGAGAAGATCCATGATCATGTCAAGAATAACTAGACCATCTTAGATGTATCAAACAATAAACATCTTAGAAATAATAACTGACTAAAAGAGTACTTTCCAGGTAAGTCAGCTATTTTAAAGCCATTTACAAACCAACTAATTAAATTGTATATTTTGTACAATAATAAAGAACACATCTATTCTTTCCTATCTTTTACTCATTTTCCCTTTTCTTGTAATCACCAATTTCTTCTCTTCTCTCTCTGCTCATTATTTTAGTTAAAATAGCCTTATAAGTACCCATCCTGCCCTAACCGGTTTGGCTCCGTGGATAGAGCATCGGCCTGCAATCTGAAAGGTCCCAGGTTCAATTTCGGTCAAGGGCATGTACCTTGGTTGAGGGCACATCCCCAGTTGGGGGTGTGCAGAAGGCAGCTGATTGATGTTTCTCTCTCATCAATGTTTCTAACTCTCTATCCCTCTCCATTCCTCTCTGTAAAAAATCAATAAAATATTTTTTTTAAAAAAAGTACCCATCGTTTAGCCCCAGAAGATGGCAGCACAGAGTCTGAAAAAACTCTGAACCTCCACACACATTCTGAATACATCTCACCTTGTTTTTTTTTTCGGAAAGAATCTCTAATCCTACAATGTCCATCCAGTCCTCAAGTCCTCCTTCAGGGCCCTAGGGTACTGCCAAACAATTTGGACCCAAGATCCAGGCCTCTACCCTGACCCCTTTTACACCCTGATGTGACACATGTGGTATTTCCTGTGGTAAAAGACTAAGGTGGCTCAGGAGTCTGGCAGTATACATGTTTCAATGTCCCCATGCTTACCCCACCATGGACCCTGGCAGACACTAGGCAATGTTGCTAAGATGGCTGTCCACAACTCTGTCCGTTACCTATGGCAAAGGATTCCCAGAGATCCCTTAACCTCCCAAATAGCAAGTAGCTAAAATATTTTAATATTTGGGGCTTTTTCTTGGTGCCAGAGTTTATACCCGAGGTTTGCAGTGTTGTTCTTATATATGTGATATTTTTAAAATTACATTATACAAATATACTTATTATATAAGTAATCATATACTATACACATTATATATATATATATAATTTTTTATTTTTTTTTTAAAGATTGCCATCATGTAGAAATGCAGGACACCAGGTTTTAGACTGGGAAACCTCATATTTGTTTCTTCATATGCAACTCCTAATTCAGATATAGACAATGCAATAAAAAAACATGTTTCTGTCTCAGTCATTGAACTTGCCATTCACTCCCTCCCCTCAGATAGTTATAGGACTTGCTCCCTCACTTTGTTCCAGTCACTAGTCCAGGGGTGGGCAAACTTTTTGACTCGAGGGCCACAATGGGTTCTTAAACTGGACCGGAGGGCCGGAACAAAAGCATGGATGGAGTGTTTGTGTGAACTAATATAAATTCAAAGTAAACATCATTACATAAAAGGGTACGGTCTTTTTTTCAATAGTTTTATTCATTTCAAACAGGCCGGATCCAGCCCACAGGCCGCAGTTTGCCCACGGCTGCTCTAGTCCATTATCATCCTCCTCAAAGAGGCCTTCCTTGACATCCCTTCCAAAAGAGCCACTCACATAGGTACTTCAACCATTCTCCACACCCCTGTTGTGTTGAGTCGGCTTTGACTCCTACCACCCCATGAATGAGTGATATCCCCCACCCAGCTCCTGTAGACTCATGCCTGTGGCTTCTTTTATGGAGTTAATCCATCTCACATTTGGTCTTCCCCTTTTCCTGCTGGCTTTCACTTTTCCCAACATTATTAGCTTTCCCAAAGAACCCTGACTTTTCATGAAATGCCTAAAGTAGGACATATTCATTTTTGTCATTTTTACCTCCAGAGATATTTCAGGCTTAATTTGCTCTAGGACCCACTTGTCTTTCTTCTAATTCAAGGTATCCATATAGCTATCCTCCAACACCATATTTCATGTGAATCCATTTTTTCCCATCAGCCTTCTTCATTGCCCAGCTTTTGCATCAGTACACAGTAATTGGAAATACGAGGGTGGATGATCTTAGCCTTGTCTCTAATGACACATTTTTGTTCTTGGTAATCTTTCCTAATTCTTTCATTGCTGCCCTTCTGAGTCTCAGCCTTCTCTTCATTTCTTGGCTGCAGTCTCCATTGGAATTGAAGGCCCTTATCCTGCTTTACTTTCTCCACAGTATTTATCACTCCCTGTTATTAGAAGCACTGACATTAGTTTTTTAATATGTTTATTGTTTCTTTCCCTTAGTAGAATGAACAGAAAGTAGTTTATTTTATTCACAAACGGATTCCCTAAAGTAATGCCTGAATGAAAGGTTATCAAAGATTAATGACTGCCACATATAGGTGATGAACTTGGAAATGTACACAATAATACAAAAACACTGGAATGTTCTTCCATTTATATGTTTCAACCTGTTCTCACGTTTGAATAAGTGCATCAATTTTAGAACATTTATCATGTTCATTGACATATATCAATACAATATCCTTATCAATTAGAAGACCATGTATCAATGCCGCTGAAAGGATACGAGAAGCGATCATTCCATGTTGCTCTTTCGACGTATTCCAACATGACAACAGCTTTGATTGTCGTTAAAAGTTTATTCCATGTTTCATCAAAATCTACAACTCTTGGTTTCAAAGACATTGTGCAAGTTTAGTGTTGAAATCTGTTAATTATAAACAAGAGTAATGCTAGCATGAGTTCTACAAGCTCAGTTATTTACTTTTAAAGCACTGCATAATTAAATAGCATGATAGATTAAAGGGGTGAGAACAGAAACTGACACATATGAAGAACACAATAAACATTGGCTACTACCTTCTTATGACTATCCAGACAAGGAATTCCACAGAATATTTGCATTCTTTACAATGGAAAAGCTTTTAGTACAAATTATTTATAATCAGGATAATCAGGATTTAGAAGCATCATTTAATGTGTTAAGGCAAAGAAGCTGTAACCCAGTTAGCCAAAGGCCATATGCCACCACGAGAAATATGCAAGAGACACTTAATAAAAAGGTTTTGGCCCCAAATCCTTAAGCTGAAAAAATGAGGTGGTATGCAGGGGGCCAGGAGAACACATAAGAAAACGGAAGGAATTATCTTCTAGGAGCATCAGTTTAGGTAAAATATTAGGAAGGAAATGAAAATGTCTAGTAAAACAAACAAAGATGAATTCTAGAGTAGAATGCACAATTTACATGAGCCATTAAGGTAAAGATTTCAAAGGAAGAGCAGGGTTGCTCCTTCTCAGATTCTCAGGATATTCCAGCCCCACTACTCTAATGAACAGCACAACTCTAGCTTGGAACCCTTGGCTCAGGTGAACTTGACCAGCCTAATAGTGAACTAAAAGACTCCTTTTGCCTAGCAGACAAACTGTATTCTATGAGTTAGCTGGTTTCTGAAACAAAAAGGTCCCAAGGTTACAGGAACTTGCTTCAAAAGCTAGATTCAAATCCTTCTCACTATCACACCAGAGAACAGAATTAAAAGAGAAACCTTTTAAAGTTAAATTTAAGTGCGCAACAGAATAATTTCTGATACTAAAGAAAACTTACTTAGTTTTCCCTTAATACTGGGGATTTTGAAACACCAAGCTAGTCTGTAGTCAGGTCAAACAAGGAAGACAACATCTGTTCTCTGGTTTCCCACTGTGGCAAAAAGAGGATAGGAAAATAATGGGGTTTGCAAGGGGGCATAAAGAGAAAAAGGAGACAAAGAAGTCAAATAGCTGAAGGTGGTCCTAGGCCAGGGGTGGGCAAACTTTTTGACTCGAGGGCCACAATGGGTTCTTAAACTGGACCGGAGGGCCGGAACAAAAGCATGGATGGAGAGTTTGTGTGAACTAATATAAATTCAAAGTAAACATCATTACATAAAAGGGTACAGTCTTTTTTTTTCAATAGTTTTATTCATTTCAAACGGGCTGGATCCAGCCCCCGGGCCATAGTTTGCCCACGGCTATCCTAGGCCCTTCTTATGTTTCTGTCCTGTGAAGAAAAGAACTCAAAAGAAGTCCAAGAAATAGACTTCAAGAAAGAGAAAGAAAAGGAATCAGAGAAAAGCCAAACAAAAACCCCCAAAAGGGTGTGTCACAATTGATCAATGCTTTACTCAACATACCGGAGACTTCACCTCCTGGCCTTAAATTTCCCGTACTAACTAGAATAAATCAGTCATCATTTAACTCTTTGTGTGTGTGCTGGGGGTTGTAGAGAAGACAGGAACCCTGGAGAGAAGAGAAACCTAAAGCTCTAGCTTTACATCAGGGAGTTAACCATAATTCCTTCTCATCCTTCTTTACCACATCCTATTCAACTGTGCTCCTGAATATTTCTTAACTCCATTCCTCACTATGTAACTCTACATATGCTCTGGGATCAAGCTCTTAGCAGCTCTAGTTTGTATGAATCTTCTATACTAATAAAAGACAAAGATGCTAACTGACCCTACCTTCGCTACGCCCAAGCCACGCCCACCAGCCAATCAGAGCGACTATATGCAAATTAACCCAACCAAGATGGCGGCTGGCAGCCACAGAGCTGGAGTAAGCAGGAGGCTTGGTTGCCCTGGCAATGGAGGAAGCCAAGCTTCCTGCTTGCTCTGGCCAGCTGTGGCCTCCACAGAGGCAAAAAGTTTCAATTCTAGAAGACAAATAAATCCCAGATACCTCCTTCCAGCCAGCCTCCACCAGGAGCTTGGGTGGCTGGGGGATGTGGCCAGGCTGCAAACAGCCATCAGCCCCTCACCCAGGATGGCCACACCCTCATGGGGTGAGGGTCCCTGCTGGGGGGCTTGGCCAGCCTGAAAACAGCCATCAGCCCCTCACCGAGGCTCGCCAGGCACCCCAGCGAGACCCCCACCCTGATCTGGGACACCCTTCAGGGCAAACCAGCCGGTCCCCACCCATGCACCAGGCCTCTATCCTATGCAATAAAAGGAAAATATGCAAATTGACCCTAAGAGCAGAGGGACTGGGAATCACTGGTCACTATGACACACACTGATCACCAGGAGGCAGACGCTCAATGCAGGAGCTGCCCCCTGGTCATCAGTTCTGCTCAGGCACAAGCCAGGCTGATGGCTGCCAGTACAGCGGTGGTGGTGGGAGCCTCTCCTGCCTCCTCAGCAGTGCTAAGGATGTCCGACTGCAGCTAGGCCTGCTCCCCGCTGGCAAGTGGACATCCCCCGAGGGCTGCCGGGCTGCCAGAGGAATGTCTGACTGCCAGCTTGTGCCCAATCCCCCATGGAGCGGGCCTAAGCCAGCAGGTGGTCATTCCCCGAGGAGTCCCAGACTGCGAGAAGGCACAGGCCGGGCTGAGGGACCCTTCCGAGTGCACAAATTTTTGTGCACCAGGCCTCTAGTTTGTTCATAAAAGAAATAATAACTTAATATTTATATAGTGCTTACTATGAGCCAAGCACTATTCTAAGTGCTTTATATAAACTCATTTAATCTGACTAGGTAGATCCTACTCTTTACATTTCCTAGATAAGAAGACTAAGTCATGCCGAAACTGGTTTGGCTCAGTGGATAGAGCATCGGCCTGCAGACTCAAGGGTCCCGAGTTCGATTCCAGTCAAGGGCATGTACCTTGGTTGCGGGCACATCCCCAGTGGGAGGTGTGCAGGAGGCAGCTGATCGATGTTTCTTGCTCATTGATGTTTCTAACTATCTCTCTCCCTTCCTCTCTGTAAAAAGTCAATAAAATATATTTTTTTTTAAAAAGGAGAGTAAGTCAGAGTGGTTAAAAAACATGCTCAAGGTCACAGAGCTACTTAATGGTGGCATCAAGATTCAGACCTGTGCTGGAGCCCAAGCTCTCAAACTGCTATATGCAACTATACAGCCTTACTAACATTTTTAGGGAATACTTAAATATTTGCCAGGCACTATTCTAGGCTCTGAGGATACAGTAGTCAATAAAGTTTTTGACCTTCAAAAAGATTAAAATATCAGATCAGGCACTTAAAGATAAAAATAACCTACCTAAACCAAAAAGTTGAGCATGTTACCTTTTTTAACCCCTTCCCCGGCAGAAACGTGTATACTCGTTTTCACAAAATGTTCTTTTTCAGTCGTCGACGAGTATACTAAGAAAATATGGTAAAAAAAAATATGGTTTATAGGAAGACGAGTTACAAACTGTTTTCATAACCAGCATCAAAAATACTATATAGAACCAAAATAAAAAAATTAGTCTGAAAAAGAAACGTTTTTAACAAAAAAATTGTTGGGGAAGGGGTTAAATACTTTCCACTATGTACAGCACTCAGTTTAATGTCCACATGGCACACCAAACTTCCATGATTTGAACTTAGACTAAAGCACCTCTCCAGCTTCTTCTTATGGGACACTCCTCAACAACATAATCCAGTAATTTGTGCTTAGAGGTCAGTGAACTGATTCACACACCCTGCCTTTACCTGTTTTCTACACCTAAAATTCTTTTATTTCCTACCTCCACCTTACACCCATTCAACTAACTCTTACTGACATTAAAGCCTTGGTCCAGTGTATCTGCTTTGAAACCTAAACTGAGCCCACTCAATCTAGGTAAGGTACCGTATTTTACACATTACATGAGAACTCTATGCTTACCTCTACTGTAATTATCTGAATGTTTCTTAAGGGTAGGGACTATTTTATAACTGTATACCAAAAAGTTGGCAATGTCCCCTTCACATTACTTTTCTCACCTTATAAATATGAGATATTATACACACTGCTTAAAATTATTTTAATGGTTGCAGAGATTGCCTTTTAGCCTTATGAAGTTTTGACAGAATCATTATCACAGACTTCTCTACAGAGACCAACAGATTTATGGTAGAATGGATACAAGTGTAGTGATAATCCATTCTTAGATGAATGAAACATATGAAAGCCAAGATGAGAGAAGCACAAGCCTAGTGAAGCACATTAAAAACTAACAAACCACCCTAGACGGTTTGGCTAAGTGGATAGAGCGTTGCCTGTAGATTGAAGGGTCCTGGTTCAATTCCAGTCAAGTTGCAGGCTCATCCCCAGTAAGGGGCATGCAAGAGGCAGCTGATCAATGATTCTCTCTCATCATTGATGTTTCTATCTCTCCCTTCCACACTGAAATCAATAAAAATATATTTTTAAAAATTAAAAAAATAATAATAAACCAGTGACAAAAAGTATGCTGAAATTGTCTGCTTGCCCAATAAGAAAGCACAAATAATGAAAAAATGTAAGTTCATTTTATTTAAATTGTTTAAGTGATAATTTATTCATGGAGAATTTATGTAAGGATGTGCAAGAGAAAAGCTAAAAACAGACCATGACACTGCACTATTCTCTGCCTCTTAAGCTGTCAGACAACTCATCTACATTAATAAAAGAGAAAGATGCAAATTGACCATACCTTCACAACACCCACCGCCCAATCAGGAGTGTGTATGCAAATTAACCCAACAAATATGGCGGGTTAATTTGCATACGCAGGCACCGAGCGGCCAGGGTGGGGCGGGACACCCCAGACACTCTGGGCCTCTGGGCAGTGTGGGAAGACAGGTGGCTCCGTGCCTGAACGAAGGCAGAAAGGCGGCTCTGGGCCAGAGCAAAGGTGGTGCTGGCAGCCAGGGGAAGGAAGGCCCATTCTTGCACAAATCTTCACGCATCGGGCCTCATATATATATATATATAATGTTTGTTCATTCCTGTACCTAACTAGGGACATCATGGTCCTATTCCTGATGTCTTGCCAGGACCACTTCCATCCATTTTTAGTTAAATTATGTCCCATTGAGTATCTGGCAAAGTTCAAATCTCGCATTACCACAATCTCCTCTAGCTTTCTTCTGAGTCTTCCACTTGTGCAATATTGGGATTTTTAACTCTTTGACACAGAGGTACTGTGCCTAGGGATCATGAATGTTATGGGTCCTAAAAATAAATCACAGGCTCTAAATATTTTTAAAAGGCAAAATAAAAATTCATGTTTAATTACGTTTTCAGATAACACGCCAATATTAACTGTAATATTTTAAACTTTTTCCTTTATTGGAAAACAATTTGTAGGTTAGATTTTCTCACTACAGTGCCATTTCTAAACTGTCAATAGTAGTAAATTAAATAATTACAAAAGTGATTTATATAAAGAGTTACCATATGACCCAATAATTCAGCTACTATATACTCAAGAGAAAACATGTCCACTCAAAAACTTATACACAAATGTTCAAAGCAGCATTACTCATAAAGGCCAGAAAGTAGAAATAACTCAAATGTCTATCAATTGATAAATGGATAAATAAAATGTAGTATAGCCCTAACTGGTTTGGCTCAGTGGATAGAGCATTGGCCTGCAGACTGAAGGGTCCCAGGTTCAATTCTGGTCATGGGCATGTACCTTAGTTGCGGCCACATCCCCAGTAGGGGGTGTGCAGGAGGCAGCTGATTGATGTTTCTCATTGAAGTTTCTAACTCTCTATCCCACTCTCTTCCTCTCTGTAAAATTTGATAAAATATATATATTTAAAATAATAATAATAAAATAAAATAAACTGTAGTATACCCATAAAAATGATTACTATTCCACAATACAAGGTGACATCTATGACATGGATGAACCTCAAAAACATTATACTTAGAGAATGAAGTTGGTCACAAAAGAACACATACTGTTT